CCGAACGGAGCAAGAGGACGCTAGGTTACTAGTTCTCTATACTAGTGTCCATTCCCGTGTCTTTGCCGCCCTCGCCTGGAACAATGTCTAAGGTGTTCGCTTCATCTGGCGGTCCGCACCGAAAGGCTGAAAGGAGCGGACGGGCCAGGCATGGGCATAGGTATATACACTCCCGAGTCAAGTCACATAGACCCGGGTCCGTCCTAAAGTGTTTTCCTCTACCAACCAGTGGTTTTCAGGGTCCATGTTAGCCTTCCAGGGTGTATTGTATGTATCAGGGTGTATAGTAACATAGTGGCCAGGGGGTGGTTGCCTGGGAGGTCTTCCTATTTTAATACACACCCATGTTTGCATGTGTATACAAGTTCACAATGCAAACAAACCAAATCCTTGTGTTTGTGTATTATGCATACCCACAAGACAAATCGGTATATATATAATATGTATAGTTTCACATCTAATCGTTCATAATACCTCGATTAATGATGTTGACCTGACCAGGGATTCTCAAAAGACAGGCGTGTGGAAACTGAGTTGTTACGCAACAAACTGCTTCATATCCACTGCGATCCACCGTGATTGCACATTCTGCTGTGGATCATGTGGTCCTGGTCCAGAAGCCAAACGCATTGATTTTGGTGGCTGTGAAACAAGAACATGCCATTCTGGTGGCTGAAATTCCATGTAGGAATGCAAAAGGAACGTATTGAGAGGCACCCAAAGACCCGTTGGAGATATATAGATCTATGGACTGGATCGGCCGATTTATCAATGTCAGTCTCTTCAAAGCCACCCTTTTGAGATCTCCGGGGCTGAGGCCGAGGTCACTGACCTTGAGGGTTTGTCCGGTTGGTCCCTTTGTTCAACTTTGACCGGATGAAGTTCAGCTCAAACATTTCTACCTCATCGACCCAGGAGATTCGATGCTGACCCTGGGACTGCCTCGCCTTCGCGTACTTCACGCGCACAGTCACCGCACCAGGACATCCTCAGTCGGCAGCTGCCAAGGTCAAATAGCTATAGGGGAGAATAACTACAGTATGTGTTGACTGACTTTCGTTAATTGTTGCTGCAAAATGCTGCAAATAGCCATAAACAAAGCTATGGCTATATACCATACTAGTCCCTTGGTAGAAGCATGTAGAAGCACGGCACACCCCAGTTTTAACTAATGAGGGGTGGGGAATTTGCCGAAAACATCTACCTTTTATTTCGAACTCGTGTCCTAATCTGACGAACATCCAATCTGCACCTATCTGCACCGCCTGAACACTGTTCGGACTCAAGCCCAGAGCTTTGTGGGGCTATACGGCTATACCATATCGACTGTAAATCCCATCTGAGATCCCATATGGATCCAAATCCAGCTGACAGCTGGTCCTAACGATTCATACCCTTGACTACGGCGACCGTTCCTACAACACACGTTCTTCCTACAATAAGCCGACTCAGCGACTCAGCTGTTCAAGAGCTCGCTCCGAACCAATGGCTAGCCCTATATGGAATCCACTGCCACCGAACCTCAGAAGGTCATTGAACCCTCCTGGCGCCTACATAACTGTTGACATAACTAGTCTCCTTCCTCACCGTACCGACCTGGTTCGGTGGCAGTGGATCCATCGGGCCGGCCGTCGGTGCACGTCCCTCTACCGTCCGCCTACGTCGGTGACGTCTGCACATCAAGCAGAAGGGAACGACGGAACATTAAGCGAGTTGAAGTGCCTCTGAGTGCCTCGTCCTTTGTTTGAAATGGCGATGGCCTCCTTCCTAGCGATGGCCTCCAATCTAGCAAACTACAGCAAGAAACCCTCCTGTCTGAGACGTTGGCAATCGCAACTCGCAGCTCCGTCGCTGCAGTCCATGGCTCACGCGCGCAATCCGGTGCGGTATCGGTTTCTGCGTCCAACTGGTCGGGGCGGTGTACTGTCCGTGGTCAGGTTGAGGCTCGTGTAACGACTCGTGTAGGGCCAGGTTTTGCACGTTCCCCTTCGTTTCAGAAATGGCTATTACCCACTTCAAAAAAAGAAGGGTTCATGCTGGTCTTTCACACGAGGTAATCTCATTTCACACCAGGTAGGCTTTAGTAAACTTGAGTATGATTTAGTCCAATGATGTCAAATGTCCTTGCAGTGGGGACAATTGGCCCACTACCTTGGCCAATGCTAGCGTCTCTATCCTTTAGACCAATGCCTGTTGTCTGTGAGCCCAGTCGCGCAACAGGGCAGTGTGTCTGTCTGTCTGCCGTGACGCTCGGTCATGCTCACCCGGTGTCATCCGGTTTCGGCGGGTCGGGTCCCCTCCTTCGGTGTTGCTGAATTCCTCTTTACAAGCAGGTACGAATCAAAGGGAAGAACCTCCCCCTGACTGCTCTGTTGCAAACGGCTTGGCCCACGGCCCACCCTTTAGATGTTGTTTCCCTGGACAAATCATGAGGACAAATCCTAAGCTCTCTCAGCTTCATCAACGGAGAACAAACAACTGTCTCGCCCTTTGCTCAAGTCGCTGTAGTTCTTCCTACCATCCTACCAGCGTGGTCGGCAAGGTGGACCAGGAATTCGTCCCACTTCGAGAAAACGTTGAGAAAAGCACGGTAAGCATCAACGTTCGCATTGAAGAACACGGATTCTGGAAGTCATTCGCTTCAGCCAGTTGAGTCTTTTTCAAAAACAGCGTCGAGATGCGTCGAGTGATGCAAGGTTCTGACCAGCACGGGCTCTCTTCAAACTTCAAACACAAAAAGTGAAGAGTTGACCAGCACCTTGAGATGAAACATTCTATTCCAAGCTGCGTGTACCTATATTTGTCTGAGACGACGAAGTAAAGGAGAGACATCATTTCACTAAAGACTTGAAGCATCTTTTGTTTTTTCCTGGGTTCCGGGGCACCTCTAGGGTTCATTGAACAGCTGGAAACTCTTAAACCCGTAGTGATAAGGTCGGACCGTCCGCCCAAAGGCGGCTGCCCAAGGTGCCCGACGTAACGAGGAACGACCCTGACCTCGGGTCCCGTAGGGCGAGGTGGCGAGAAGGCCACCGTGTCGTGTGCCCAAAACGACCCGTTTTCGCAACAAACGGGTATCTGGAACAGGATATATAATTACATGTTACAAGTTTACATTCTAAATTCTGACTATACACAAAATTCATCATACATCCGATTCTGGAAATTCCATGCAGATCATCTGAAGAAATCGTTGGAACATCCTAACAAACCAACTCATGTAGAAGCCTCGACTCAGTGATTCCCTGCCACTGGAGAGAAAATCCGTCCGCGTATGCAGAAACATCGTGTCTCCTCCAACCAGATCAATGAAGGTCATGTTCTTCGGTTTGATCAACATGTTTCTGTTCTTCGGAGGGGAGTGGGGAGGTGCTTTGGGACTGCGTGGTATCAAAAAGCCCAAGCATACGGGTAGGCGGCAAATAAAAAACAAATATATATATATATATCGCCATATGAAGTAATTAGTATATATTGTAATATGGTACATTGTCAGTATGTTACAGTCTTTTTCACCGTTCCTGATGGGTTCTTCTTGATCTGGTCACCTGCAAGCTGTTGGATGGCGTGCTTGGTAGACATGACATGCTGAGGGTTGAGCCGGCGAGGTGCTCTGGCCTACCTAAGATGCTCACAGCGTGGCCACTTTGGGAACATGAGATGTCAGTCATGACATGGAGGAGGGTCCAACAATCAATTGGCATTCCACACCAGTTTTGATTGACCGGACTAGCCTCTCTGGAAACACTCTAGCAGCTCGACTAGCCAGCTGCCTCTATTTTCCACCCAGTAATAGTTTGTTCGTTGGGCTGAAAAGCATGCATGGCCGGATGGTCCTGCTTAGAAGCCCTCTGCACGCAGGTTGGACAAAAGGCCGCATACTATCGTTGAGGTTTTACATTGCTGGACACTTCATGTTTGTATTCTCACTGCTGAAGAACACAAAGCATGCAACTGTTTGGTTAGAGTTTTGTGTGATGTTGTGTGTGTTTTTCATCTATACCCCTTAAGAGACATTCTGACAAGTTGCCAACGTGAGCCGTGAAAGCGGGCTTCTTTGACAAACATCTGGGTTGCTAAACTCTGGCCCAGCATTCCGGTCGGGCTCTGGAACACCTACTTGGATTGGTGATGAATGACTGAATAAGCGCTATTCCTCTTCATATACTCTGGATTGTGGGTTCTGGGGGTCCTCCTCTCTGTGCCGCAGGATCTTATGTCTATGTGGACCTCTGAATGTATACAAAGCCAATCAGCTAGCTTGCGGATGTTGTCAGCTAGGCCGCAGATCAACACCGCGACTTCGGGATCATCACCTTCCAGTCCACACCTACCCCAAGTATCCCCAAGTCAGAAACACTTGCAAAGCACAGTCTTGCTAAAGAACTGAGCGAACCCCAGTGGCCGCCTCGCATTCAGGTCAAAACAGCCTAATTAGCCCACCATAGCCCACCATGCCTAGCCCAACACACCAGACATCTTGGGGATGTGTCATCTGTCTCGAAAAAGACATCCCTCCCTCTTCAGCTCCACGACTTGGTCCTCGATCTGAGAGGCCATCCCTGCTCTGCTCCAGAGGGACCATCCCATCACCCCTCCTGAGGCCGGGAAACAGGGCCGTTTCGAACTCACACAGACTTGGCCATTTGGATGCAGCCTGTCCTTCAGAAGTCCTCTGAGGGTTCGTATTTGCATGGAGAAGGATGGCAAGTGAAACCTATATATAGAAGTATAATGAATTATATGTAATTAAGTAGATAGATAAAGTTACATGGAGATGTACTAAACATCGGAACGCTGGTTGGATAAGTACAGGTCACAGGAAGCAAAATCACTTAAACACCAGAACGTCCGGCAGGAATCTACACGCACCAAAGAAAAACCAGTCCCGGCTTCCTTTGGAGAGTGCCAGAACAATCTCTCAAGCCCAAATCGCCCAAACCCAGAGTCGCCTGTGTTTGAGGACAACTGGGGGCCCACACCATTGGAACAAGTTGTTATCAGGGAAAGTTGATGCATCTTTTGCACCTCAGTGACGCCGCGAAGTTCCGTCAGTGAGACTAGTCCATCTCTGATTCCTTGTTCACGTTGGACCAAATGTTTTCCTACATCAACAAGGGTTCTGAGGGTGTAGCTCTTGACCCCTTTTGTTGAAGTTCGGATCAGCAAACATCACCTGGTGCAGTTTGGGTGTCCAAATGTCGGCAAAATGTCGGCATCCAATGCCAACGTTGTCACCTGCATGTCATCACAGCATCATGACTCAACCTCCCCCGGAATCCAACTCGACTGACCCAGGGGCGAAACATGGCGAGGACACGGCCACCAGTTGGCCACGCCCCTCTTGGGCGCCCCCAAGGCGGTCCGGTTTCCCGGTGAAGGAAGGTGACGTTCCGCTGGGGTCCATCGATTTCTACATAGACATGACATTGCACTACAGCTGCATTGTGCATTGCATATACACACATATATATATTATACTATATATATACACATATTTGTGAAACCTATTATATATGTTTATATATAAGTATATATATATATTAATATATGACTATATATATATATATGTATGTACCATATACATACAATACATACGAACAGACACACAAACATACTTAATGTACAGCTGCACTAGGCTCCTTTTGCATGCTTGACTTCCAAATGTTTGGCATCCAAGAGGACCGTAGCTACCAGGCACGGCATCCGCCAGGCAGCCGTCCCGGTGGGCCCCCGCACAATAGAAATGATGTTAATCCTCAGTGCGTGTGCTGAGAAACACCGAACATATCCACATGAGCGGCTTGGTGAAAGCACCGTGCAAGGGGAAAGTATGTATTCTAAACAGAAGATGAGATGTTATGATGTTTTCTGTACTGTATGATACCTGGACCTTCTGCAGTTGCATATGCTATGTCTTTTGGTGGGACAACACAAAGTTCAGTCACAGTGTTGTCAACCACGAAAACGGATTCATTTCAAACATCTGTCGCGATGCAGAGTCGAACATGTTGCTGGGTCCGGGGAAGGTTGAAGCTCCGTCGAAACATTCAACATGCTTGAAACACACTTCATGTTTGCTGGAAATAGACAAGTGTTGATTGAACAAGCAGAACAAACATAGCTAAGAAGACCCACATCCTGGTCTACCCAGGTACTACCTGCTGTCTCTTCCGGAATACCACGGCGAAGCTTTGGAACCGGAACCTTGGTCCACCGGTCCGTCGCCGAGCCAAGTGCCATGCGGGCGCGTTCCTTAGATATTTAGTGATATTTAGATCTTGGATGTTTAATCCCTCAACTACAGAATGATCTGAAGATGAAGAGCACCCTCAGAGAACCCTTGACCTTTGCTTTGACGGGTTAGATAGCGAAGGGCAGTAGAGGTTGTTTGAATAATAAGTCATATTAGAAGAATAGTATGCTAGGATCCACAACACAACTTACAACTTGTACTTGTAAACAAAGTCATCCTGCACAGAATAGCAACTTCCACATGGCAAAGTTCCTTTCTCACCTCGACGAGAAGGGTGCCCGCGCCAATGTCTTGGGATGCTGATAGGCCAGGGGCCTGGAACCAGAGCAGCAAAGTGAGAAGTCCATCGTATCCATCCATCGTGTCCATCCCGGTAGGAACGGAAAGGGGCTGCGAAGCCGCATGCAAAGCTTGTCATATACTTTCATCTACCTCCAAGAGATGTCAGAAGGGGCCAGCTCACCGAGCCAGCCTAAGTCCAATAGTAGATATCACAAGCCTTCAGGGTTCAATGGATTCGGCTGTGAGCCGAAGGAGATCGGCACTTGCCGCAGGTGCCCTTAGGCGCCTTAGGGCAGCGCGGAAGAGGAGGGGACAAAACCTTCACACCTGCCCTCCATCATTCATTAAGAGCCAAAGTGCCACAGCAAACCCAAATACTATTCACCTCGTAAAGCTAAAGCCTCAACTCCCCTTAACCATGTCTCATCCAGCCGTCCAGCCGCCTCAACGATGACCTTCACCCTCAGAACGCGCGGGCGGTGTTGGCGCGCAAACCGCCCGCGCAGCCAGGCGTGACCAAAGACTTCATGAGATTTCAAGGGGTCTGTGATGGTCTGTGATGTGTGTTCCTAAAAAAGAAGACCGTGGGCTGATTCACTAACAAACATCCCTCGTACTGCCTGCTGCTTTTGACAGGAACTAGTAACTAGAGAACTTGAGTCCTTGAGCTTTTAGAGAATTAGCTAACGAACAGAATCATCTGGTATCACTTGGTGAAAAGTCGTGGACGGCGGAGCTACGAATTGCACTTGACTTACTGTATTAGGTCCCTTTGCCCCTTTGCATATTCTGGTGACAGACATGGCTTGCAGCAAACAGGACCCAAGGCTCATCATATCAAAAATGGTCAGATGCCAATACAACTTCTCTTCCCATCTACTGCCAGGGCGCCCAAAAATGCTTCAGCCACTTTGCTACGACTCAAAAACTAATTGCTACCTACAGTACGACCAAATGAGATTGGAGTCCCTAGTCTGATTTGCACCCTCGCGGCGCCTTACGGCTGTTTTTCCGATTCGTCCTACATGGAAGATCTGATTGTTACCGACACACTGGCCGAAAAGCGCACAAGACTGGGAAGGCTTAAACGTGTGAAGCGCGGAAAAAGGTCTCTCTCTCTCTCTCTGCTTCCATGCCACAAAGCCACGACGTTGGAGAACTCAATCGTCTCCGCATGGAAAACAGCACATCGATCCTTTGACTTTGAAGCATCTTAACACGTTGGGGATGTGGTCAGGCGCTTTTCGGCACGTATCTGGGCCCATCTGGGCCCTCCCGGCTCCCGGCTGGTAGCGTTCTTCGGGGTGGCGCCCAGCTGCTTGGCAGTCTGGTGGCGGAGGCAAACCTGACGGAAAAAGAAAGGAAAACACCGACCACGAGCAACCACGGGTGGTCGGTGCGACTTGCAACATTTCTGAAGGGTGTCCAGAGTTCCTCCAATACAAGGATAAAAAAGTTGAATTTGTCATCTGCACAGAAACCCTCGCTAAAATACACAAAAATATACCTGCTGACTGGCTGAAGCCAAGGAAAATTCTGCCTTGTGATCCTTGTTTGTCTTCGTTCTTTGTTGAAATCTCGCACCCAAAGAGACCAGCTGATCACTTGCTATACACCCCAGATGCACCAAGTACAGTAAGAACTGAGTATGACCCGTTACCCAACACGTTAACCCTCACTCGTTACCCTACTAACAACAGCCAAGACATCCAAACACAGCCGTGCCTTGCTGGGCTCGAAGGACGGCTCCAACGGTTGAGAATCTGTGCTTGGCAAAAGCTTCGCTCCCACCTGAGCAGCTCAGCTCCCAGCCCAGCCCAGCCCCCGGCCACGTGGAGCCCGGGTTCCGCGCAGGTCAACAGCTCTGCTTTTCAACGATGGAGATGTGGTGATCCCAAAAGAAACCACCGGATCAGTGGACGAATCAAGTGGACGGATGCTGCAATATGCTGCGAATTCCTTTGGGTTCGAATGGTAGTGAAACTGGTGAATCCGGAGCGGAGGGGGGTCGACAGGAACGACCCGTCAGCATGTCAGCATCCAGTGATGTCAGCATACGCTCCCTGGTTATGCCAGGGATGAAGAACAAAGTGATCCTGCTGTAACTCCAGACCCGAGAAGAATCTGCATGAGGGAGCCTGTTGACAAGTACGGCTGTCATTTCAAGTCTGCCGCAGGTGGCAGAATGAATGCTTCTGAGAACCGGAGGTTGACGAATGGTTGGTGGGCTTCCCACCCAGCACAACTTAGCAAAACGGGGAAAAAGGGATGCTACTATTTAGCAGCATCAGTATACTAAGTCATTGTTTTGGGCTTCTTGAAGAGCTAGTGGTCATTCTTCCGGGATATCTGCTGCCCTCCTATGACGTGTAGCACCACTAAATGAAACCTGTGTTCCACTCGTGGCAGTCCATGCAGTAGGGGGATCATCTGGGTAGTTTTCATCCCAAAATGTCCCGAGTCCCGTGTGCCAGGCTTTGGGATGCTGCTAGGGGAACTTTGGGGGGAGGGGCTAGGAGTCGCTCTCTGATTTTTCATTCATTGTTCATCATCCAAAATCAGGTCCAATGTCCCAAGGATTTCTACATGCAAGGGGTGCCATGCAGTCAGTGTCTTTCTTCCAGCAGTAGGAGCTGATCTCTGAGACTCTGCTACCCGACACGTCGACGTGCTTGACGTCGTGCTTGACGTCCCTGGCAGATCTTGACCCGGTGGACGATGGATGTTGCGAGGCCAAAGCCGTCGGATTCGTCCGAACCCGTTTGACCTCTGTTGATGAAAAGACCATGTTTGGGCTCCAAAACAGAGGTCAATCAGGTTCTACTATGCTGGAGAGCACGCTATGCACTGCCTGAATTTGCATTCGCACGCTGCTACTGCTAGGGGCAGCAGCAGTCGCGTAATGATCTCCATCGACTATTTGGAGGCAGAGAGTTCTTCACCAGGTGATTCACCAAAAAGAAACATCGTCGCAGCACGCTTCACCGTTTCTCACAGTTTGTGGTCCGAAGGTGCCAGACCAAGTTGACGTCATGTCAAATCGACTGGAAACTTCGACTGAATCACATTAGAAATGAAAGCTGCTAGCTTGTTTGGGGTTGCACAGGCAAACAAGCAGGGTTGAAGTGTGTTGGGGGGTCACTTGCTTCCTGTTAAAAAGTATCATATATGGCATATGGGGGTTGATGTGAACGGACCCTGGAATTTGTTGGAAAAAAGTCAACAGGTCTTGTTTGCACAGCGTCTTCGGCTTCTTGTACTGAGGTTGTTCATGTGGTCCACTTGTGTATCAAATCCTCGGCGTCTCCCCTCAGCCCATCACCCCGTCACCTGCACAAACGGCGTCTCTGCAGCTTGGCTGATCCTTTTCAAACAGTTGGACTTTCGCATCTGCGCAGCGTCTGGACTTTCTGCGGCACATCCAGCCCGCTGGAATGGCCCCCTGCTAACGATGCTAGGCCCACCAGAGTGGCGTCCGTATTTCCAGACGGAGGCGTCACACTGACTTATGGAAAGCTAGACAAAGCAACCTAGCAGGGAGACTTTACAATTGAATTCACCTGAACAGCTGGCTGAAACCATCTGTCGAAACTAACTGCAAAAACTGCACTGGACAACATAGGCCTGTGCTCTTGAGAGCACCAGGACCTCATTAAGCACAGAATATAGATGCTGATGCTTTTTTGTGAAATGTGTTGCATGAAGTCCGAAGAAAAAACACACTTCTCACCACGGCCTTCCTTTAATGTAGCTAACAACATAGTCAGAACAACGCAACAATGGTTGCTGGAGGATCTTCACACCTCCTTGAAAGCTTCTCAGTGCAGACTCGTACTATCAGACAAGCCCGCTAAGACATGCAATCCAAAAAGTCATTCGATTCTATTGGGAAAGAAGAGTGGGGATCTCGCGAATCTGCGTTCCCTCAAATCAATTTTCGTTCTAGAGTCCAGGCCTCATCTACGCATCGAATGAGCTAGCTGCCTCCCTTTTTGTGATGCCCACACACTGATCATGCAACATGGGAATGGACTTCACCACTAAGCGTCCATAGCGGTTTGCCCAAAGCTTCTGTAGCTTTCGCGCCAGAAGTGCGTTCGCCTTGGCCAGATCCTGGGATGGCAAGAGCTTCAAGGCCATCAGGGCAGTGTGATGGCTATGGCGGCCACGTGCCATTTCTGCGAGTTGATTGACCAGGGATCGCGCCAAGGCGACTCTTTGAGGTGCATGGACCAAAGCTTTCTGCAGGACCTGGGTGGCATTCGGGTCTTTCCCCATGGCACCCAAAGCACCAAAGAAGCCCTCACCAAGCTGCTGTCGTTGCACATTGGTGCCTGCAAGACAAAGAATGGTGAGGTGTCTAGGTTCAAAGAATTGAAACGACCGCATGCAAAACAGAATGTGGTGCCGTTCAAATCAATTTCTACGTTTTTGAGCACAAATAAGATCAAATAAGGCAACATCCACACTTGCCAGGAGACCAAAATCAAAGATTTGCTGCATCACGTAAGTGCCGTAGCTGTGACACATCAAAGCCCGGGCATCCTCCAACAAGAGCTTGACAAGTCCTTCCATCTGAGCTTGACAATGTTCCAAGAGCCGCTGCAGGATTCGGCAGCCGTACTCATGGCGTGCCAAGTTCGGTACATCTGCCGGATTCGTCATGAGTTCATCGATGATGAACTGACAATCTTTGGGCCGGAGCAGTTGTATGAACTTTTGCAGAACATAGTTTGCACAGGCAGACTTGGCAGCTGCCCACACATGCCCCTGGAGCTCCAAAGCCAAGGCAAAACGCTCCGCATCGCTACATGTCTCCAAGCTAGCTTGGACAAAGCGACAGCTATTGCGGCGCTGGGACATGCACCAAACACGGCCACGGATTGGACCCTCTGAAGAGGTATCTGAAGTACCTGCATCATGCTGAATCTGCAAAGAACTAGGTGGAAGCATAGAAATTCAGGAAAGCCTGGGATTCCGATGGGGGTGTTGGTTTGGCTCTTCTCGGGGTGTTCGCAAGAGTTTCACTAGATGTCCACACCTGCCTTGCTCTGATGCTGCAGATGTCGAGTTTTGCCGCGAGATGCTTCCTTCTGATGCTGAGCTTTGAGTGGAGCATGGTGTTACGCAAGAGGAAGCGTGAAGGTTCACTATCACAGCTGCCACAGGCACCACAAGCGCTTGGTGGAAACCCACTACCTGTGCTGGCACTGCCATCATGGGCATCATGGACATGGACATAGGAGAGGGCCACGGGAACCCTTAAGGGAGCGATCTGCGAAAAATAGGCCTTTGAGCAAAAATGTCTCGGGCGGTATCAATAAATCAAACGTGGAAATGTTTCAAGCAACATTGCATCACATCAATCACAAACTTTGCAAAGCTGAGAAAAGGGACTGGAGCTCGTTCCTTTTGTAGATGAGTTCACCCAAACGGGACCCGAGAACCTGTCTTTGAGTTTGGAAAGCCCGTGTTCACATCCTTTGTCTGGAGGAGCATGTCTCTTTCGGCTTCACCCGCCTGGTTCGCGCCGAACCCAGGCAAAGGCCCAGGTGCTGCAGCTGCAGGTGCTGCGTCTGCTGCGCCTTGGTGGGACTCAAACTGTGAGATATGAAGGCAGATCCTCAAATGTGTATTAATATATATATATGGGGTGTCTTATTTTGTGCGAACCCACTGGCAAACCACTACTGATACTGGATGGTCATCTGTTATTCCGAAAGACTTAGGGGCCCTGGTGTCGCCTAGTTTGAGACCAACCAATATGAGGATACAGGCCACACGGTCTGCCATGGCTAGATGTCTACTGTGGGTTGTTGGCAGTCTGCGGGACAGTTACGTTGGATTTTGCCGAAATTTCAATGAATGTCCCCGAATGATGAAATTACGCGGATGTCTGTAAACTTACCATATAATACCATAATCTATTGCCAAGATGGATGCTCAGGTGGGCAATCTAATAATAGTATTACAATGTGGGTGCGTCCACAAGGTGCTGAAGCAATCCCGCACTGGAACTGGAACACCAAAAAAACATGCGCGACACGTGGAAACAACGGCGAACAACAGTGCCAGGTGGGCATCTGTGGGGTTGGCCATCGGTTTCGTTTGACCCGCTTGAACAACTAGAACAACCGGCATCCAAGAGTTGACGGAGTCTTCGATCGAAGCAAGTGCTGAGGGTTTCCCACCTTCGTCCTCCAAGTAAAAAATGTTTAGGTCAGCATCTCTTCGTCTTTTTGGATGCAACTGGACACCGCTTCGGTTTCGGCCACCAAGTCACGGTGTACAGTCTCGGGCACCGCCGTCAAGTCCTCTGCAGTCACGCGATGTAGTTGGTGCAAGTTGCAGTCGTTTGAATTCGTTGTAGAGTTTTGCTAGATTGAAAATGCCAAGTGCATGGCTAAATTGATGTCTCTGTCTTCAAACTTCCAACATTCTCCAAACCACCTCCCCAAGTGTGTTGTTCCCCCTTTTGGAGCAAATCACATGGAAATTTTGAAGAGGGGCCTCGTGGTTGATTTGCGTAAGGGAAATTGTCAGCCATCATCTCTTCAATAGTCTCGATGGGCACACGTTCCAGCCGAGTTTTGACAAAAATCTTCATAATGCAGCATATGTCGTCATTGATCTGCATCGCTCATACATAGATATACATATTTATATATATATATAAAATCACAACGTCGACTTTCCATGCGTTGCCGTCTGCCCCACAAGGAGTGGATGGCCTGAAGCCCGCAAAACACCAACCTGTCCCTGTCCGATCGCAACGCAGCCATGCGCAGCCTCTGTCATAGCCATGGTAAAGCCCAGCTCGCTGGGCGTCTCCGCGTCCAGGGAGATCAAGTCACATCTCAGTGTCAGTGGCGGGGAAACAAGTGTCATAAGGTTAAACCATAAGACGAAATCCCCCAACCCCAGTGTAGAACAATGAACATGAGCGTGAGCGGAGCGGGGCCGGCATGTTCTTGAGAGGGACTCCGCTGCGATCACATTAAATTACTAAAAATTTGGCAACAAAATTGACAAATGTGTAAATTCTACTAGTAGAATTTGTTGCTGACCAAAATTTTTTCCCGGAAAAACGTTGCCCAGGATTTGGCCTGGGGTTCGGCTTCCCCTCACCCCTTTGCATTCAGGCATGGGGCCATTTTGTGGCGCGGTCTCAGGCATGCCTCCAAGAAAGAAGGAAGGACAAATTGGAGGCGCGTGCGCATGCGACAACTTTGGTGGGTTCCTCTTGGAAAGTGGGCCTATACCGAATTGTTTTTGAAGCGCTCATAAAAAGGGTCGAGCCAGCATCAGCAAACGCGCCGATGGGCCAAGATCGAAGTTCAGTAGGGCCTCAACATAGCCACTTTGGGGACAAAAACACACACACAAACCTTCAAAACCCTTTCTCAGAGACGACATTCCATGGAACTCGCCACCTATATTCATTCGTATTGTTCAAAACGGTCAGCAGTTCACCCACGCCCACACAAGCCGTTTGCTTTGGCACCTTGGGTTTCTGAGCATGTTGATTTTCTCCGGACGTGGAGAGGTGGGCTGTTGTGCCATCGTGTTCGTTCTAAAACATGTATGCAGTGCTCACCATGCTTGTGAGGACGTTCAAGTAATCGTGCAGGGAAGCTGGGAATTTATATTTTTGAATATTTTTGAACATCAAGAGAACCCCAAGGTGCAAGTTTTGCTTCCTAAGTTGCCTTGCACTATTGGCACTTTCTGTTTCTGGTTCTGCTTCTGATCAAAGTAACCACCACCACCACCACCAGCACCACCACCACCACAACAACAACAAAAACAGCAACAACCACAAAAGCCACAATACCAACCACAACAACTACTACAACTACCACCACAACACCACCAACAAGTACAACAACCACCACCGCTCTCAGCTGTTTGCCTCTGCCGCCTGCCACTGGGCCCCCGGCTGGCAGGCAGTTGGGCGTAAGCCCCTTAAACAAACTCAGTTTTAGAAAAACAGGTGTTTCGACGTCACGGAGATAGTTGGATAACACGCAATGCTGATTACCGCTCCGGGAACAGTAAGGAACACCAAAGACCAAAGCCTGAAGCTTTGTGAGCCCAGAAAAAGTTTACATTAGAAAACATAGCAGTAACCATCACAGGTGGATGCTACAACTCCGCCTTCCTATTTCCACAGTTGCAGGTTTTCTGCCACTTCCTGCGAAGCAGCGAAAGAACCACGCTACAAAGTCAACTGGAACTTCCCACTGCCAACAGACAGGCCACAAAAACTCATATAAGCTCGACAACATCACTTCCACACATCAAAAAACCCTTTTCAGACATGCAAGATTTGTTCTCGCATCTTCTGGTGTTGGTGTTTGGTGCTGCAAACAAAAGCTACTAAGTGGAGTGATTGCTTCTAAAGTGTGAATTTGAGTCAACCCTTCCGCCCGGCAGTGACAGATGAAGATTGCCCTTTCAGATTGTCCCAGCTCGCCCTTTCCGCTTGGAGCCCCGCGTCCTAGGAGCCACCTGGTGACAAAGGCGCGCAGTAGGGACCCCCGAGTCCACCTTTCCAACTAGCATCCCAGAGGCGGAGGCGGCCAAAGCCTTTTAGATCCCCGGTTGTAGCTCCCAGTGAGGGTCGGCCACCCTCATTAACGAGGGTAGCCGACCTCCAAGTAGTGTTTTTATTGGGGGTAACGTTGGCAGGTAGGCTTGGTGCAGGTGGGGGTCTGGTAGTCTGGTACCTCAGCCTCATAGATAAGCAAACGCTTGAAGGTTTCTAGGATCCTTTAAGGTTGGGAATAGTGATGCTCTTAAGGTTGGCTACCTGAAATAGTGATTGGCTACCTGAAACAGTGAGTTCAGCAAAGCGTCATTCGTTGAAGGAAGTGCCAGTTGTATTGCTATTGCGCTTGTGTGTGTGCTATTGTGGTGGTAGCTAAGGGTGAAGAAGAAATTGATTTTTAAATTAAATGCAAGCCTAAACGTATCTAGCGTGGTTCCAGGGTTGGCTCCCATCACTTTCATTTCATCCAAAGTTGTTTTTTCTTATGGTGCCTTTTGTTTGTCTTGCTGGGTGTGTGTGTGTGTGCTAATGTGGTGCTAGCTAAGGGTGGGGAAAGGAAAATAAAATCAAAGGCATTGCAGCCTAAATATACTTCAAATCTGATATTAGGGTTGGCTCCCAGCACTTTCATTTCATCCAATAAAACACCCATCTGCTCCAATAAAATTGATGGAGCCCACCCCTTTTTCTGGGTCATCACTAACCTATTTTTAGGGAATATGTGCTGACACGAAGAAAGCCTGAGTGGCTGAGTGGCCGACAGGAAGAAAAGCCTGAGTGGTGCTGACAGAAAGAAAAGTCTGAGCAGTTGAGTGGCTGATTGGAAGAAAAGCCTGGGTGGCTGACAGGAAGGAACGCCTGAGTAACTCAGGCTTTTCTTCCTGTGAGCCAGTCAGCCACTGAAACGTTTCTTCCTGTCAGCCAGCCACTCAACCACTCAGGATGTTGTTCCTGTCAGCCACTCACCCACTCAGACATTTCTTCCTGTCAACCACTCAGCCACTCAGGATTTTGTTCCTGTCCGCCACTCAGCCACTCAGGATCTTGAGTGGCTGAGTGGCTGACAGAAAGAAAATCCGCATTTCCACGTCCAATCTATTTTTAGGAACCAACCCCTGTGCATCCATGTGCAGCAGCCAAGGTAGGCCGTTAGTTTAGTGATATGTCACTGATCCAGGTGCTTGGCCTACCCCAATATAAATTTGATTAACTTTGACCATCAAACGATGATCTTTTAGCATGAAAACCCACCTACAAACTACCTCTCCTTGATGTGCCACTTTGCAATTAATGCTGTGGCAGGAAAGTGTCCCAAAAGTCTTGATTTGTTGATCAACTGATGAAACAGCTGCACAAGGAAGTAGTTACCCAGGTCACTCCTGGAATTACACCATCGAGTGGATCCAGAGAGGTATTGCTAGCTATAGAAATATATATGCTGTCTTACCCTAAGGACGCATACCAATCCTAATCATTCAGCTTCTTTTCGATTGAGCAACAGCCCGCTTCCTTGTAAATGCGGGCAAATGGAACTCCGGTCCCCCATAGAACCATGGTCGAAGTGCTCAAGTGCAGCCGGTACAAATGAACATGTTGAATCAATGTTTCAAGCTGCTTTGGCAACGCGAATGCCCCCGCTTCATGCAGTGGGTCGCAAGCTCGTGCATCGCAGAGCTGTTTTTGCGCATGTTGTGCATGCTGTGCAAGTGTCTCAGACCGGTGCTTCAAATGTTCGTCTAACGCAGACCAGTCCGTCAAATGCTCCCAATTACACCGGTGCGTCACGCATGTTTGTGCATAGTGAGGTCATGCAACGTCTCAATAGGTCATGCAAGGCAACCAAGAAGGTCGTGTTTGCTGAATTTACCAGGGTCATTTGAGGTTTCTGGTTCTGGTTTGTGCTGGTTCAACAGTGTGTTTATTGTGGCATGCTTCTCTCCCCCACCCCGCCAAGGGAGCCCCGAAACAGACAGGCGTGCCCCGGTGAACGAAACCCTATGAAACCCTATGTTCCAAAGAAATGCGACATGGATGTGGTCCTCCACGGCAGGCTGTGCTTGCGTATTGACGTTTCTATATAACAGAGCCTTGAAAAACATGAACTCAACTTTGGTTGGGGCCTAGCTGTTCATGTCTCGTTTCTTCTCATATCAGAAACACCGTGACAACCACACAAAGAACTAATGTTGCAGCAAATTACTTGCAGCAGGGTGGTCTCAAGCCTGCCCAACTATGTGCAACAACAAAGAAAACAACAGTATTATTTCATATAAGTTAGATCACTTTCTTATCCAACAGGATCCGTTCAACCACTCGCGGCCATGCTGTGATTCCGCAGAATATATTCAAGCTCCTTTTTGCACATTTGGTAGATTGATGGGGATTGATGGGTTCTTTGCTGACTTACATTACAAACGAATCAAAAACTACATCTATCCTCATCTATATATATATATATTCTTTCCAACATGGAGCCATGCTGCTTCCATCTGCCGGGCACAAGACTGTACTATGATGTACTATGCACCAAATCAAGGGAAGGTCCAAAGACACAAGATACTGTGGCCAAAAGGTCGACACACCTGTGGTTGAGATATGTTGAGATGCCCGTGCTCATTTCCCAAACATGCTCACCAGCGAAGATGCACTGCCTCTGGGAGATCGCGGCGAGCACGGCCTTGATCGAGGCAATGATTCCGATTGGAGCATGTTGTGCTTCGGATTTGCTGCATGCCAAAATAAATGTAAAGCTATAGTGGTGTCGGAACACGCAGTCCGATCAGCAACCCCTAGACTTCTGGCAGGACGTCGAGAGTGACTGTATACATCCACAGGCACAACGACCCACCAATGATATTAGAGGGTGTTTCAGAAGGGTAGACCAAACATGACAAAACACCAAACACGACATGGGTCCGAGTCACATGAACAAATGGTGTAAAGTCATGTAAAGTCACTGATGTGGTCGTGCCTCCTTTTTCAGTTCACCCAGTGGTTCAGCAGTTTTTCAGGCACATCCACTTCAGTCACCCGGGTTTTCCACCTGAACGAAACAGTCAGGAGTCAAGGGAGTCAAGAAGGGGGAGGTCCCGAGTGGATCAATAGGGAGAGAAGAACTCGACGAAAACTCGATAAGTGTGGAACCGACGCACGACGAACACGACGATGAACACCCGCCACGTGCCAAACCAAAACTGAACTGCGATGACAACCCTGAACTTGCAGCCCAATGAACTTCGAAAGTGCGGATTTGAGACTTCTCGCCACCAGGCTGCTGGAACACATGAGATGCTTATCCAAACACAGTCTGATCTGTGCGCCATTCTCTAGGGTCTTGGCCAGGATTGTAGCATCTTTCTGATTGCCCGATGGCGTCTTGCTTCTGAAACTTGCTTCTGAAAGACAAAAGTAGCACACTGGCCATGAGGGTATACCGGTATACCTTGTATTGTATTGTTGTGCAGTATGCAAGAAGTTCTGGGCAACACATTGATAACATCTGATATGCAGTCAAGCTGCTTCCATTTGCTTGTTTGTTAATCCCACTAAAAGGAAAACGCTTGCTTGCTCGTTCCCCAGTCGCTAGATCAGTCATTACATGTGTTACAGCGGCAAGCCACGGTCCATTCCGCTTCGTTCACCCTTGTTTCGGCACCCCGCGCTCACTTCGGGCCAGGCGATCTTTGGAAACAACGAGAATCGGCCGATGCCGAAAAACATCTGTACACTGACTGGTACTCAGCCCGCTGGTGTTTGCTCGATAGAACATGGCAATGGACCTGCGTTCATGACCAGCAGGGAGACAGGGAAGACTGCTGAAGATTGGAGAATCTTCTAGCATGATGATTTTCACCTGGCAACTGACTACTTCCTAGTAGGAGCTTCAAAGGCGCCAGCCTATCTACATAGGGTAGGTAGGCGTTTTTCCACCTCGCCGTCGACAGCTGGAACAGGCGAACGGTGCCAGCTCAACCAAGGCAGCAGGCTCAAGGCTCAACCGATGTCCTTTTCGGAAGGACTGAGGCTGAGGGGTCGATTTAGTACCATATAACCTATTGGTTGTTCAGAATTGCGGGCGGACAACCTCTATTTATGAATCAACTCGCTATAGTAAAAGACCATCTATGGGCCACAACAGCCCTGGAAAAGCAATATCTGGGAGGAATATGGTCACAGTATCTGTGGAACTACGCAGCTGAAGTTTGGTTACTGGAAACCTGCTCATATATTTGTTACACAAAACTTTGCGAGGCCAATGTGGTAACAAGCACTACTGTGATACGGCCATAGTGGAAATTCGACAACATTCACTGAACAATGGCCATGTTCTAGACAAATAATTACGTCCGTAAACTAGGAGCAAATTAAGACTCGACTCAAACCAAAGCCCACCAGGCTAAGAACTGTTCGCTTTAGCTGTGGTACCACAATGAAGATCTAACAAGTCACCCTATGAGCCTATATACCTTGGCCAGCCGGTATGTCTTTTCCATGGTGGCTTTCTAAGCTGCAAAAAGGCAGGGACTGCCTGCAGCGTGGCTGTCCCCTGCAGCATGGCTGCCAACCCTAGCTGGGCAAAAAGTGACTTCAGAGCCTCACTGTCACAGGAACTTCCCGAAGAATCGTGTTGAGAAGGGATTAGATCTCCTAATGTGCTTTATTGCAATGCAAAACATCAGAATTTTGCTTGTAACTTGTGCGACTCGATGTGGTAATTTACCCCATCACACAGGAACTTGACCCACCCCCATGGCACACCGCTTCCCCCACGAATGTAAAAGCTTACCCCATTTGGAAAACACAATGGCACACCGCTTCGAAACAAGTATGTTTTCTTCTAGCTGAGTTATATAAGACAACCATGGTGGCATTGGTTGAGAATAGGACAGGGCAAATACAATCTCTTGAGTGGTGGTGGGTTGGGGGAGCAAATGAGCTAGGAAGGCTTATTTGTCGGAATGATCAGCTGTTGCAGCCGCATCGACAATTCCACCACGATATGCATGTCTGCTCCTACTCACAAGGACTTTGTTATCTTAGGAATCATTTCCATATTTCCCATACTCCCGTATTCCTTAAGCCCTTGCACTACTGTCCTTTCATATATTAGCATATTCTACTATATTTCTCAGATGCGTTGCATGCTTCAACCGTTTAACATGTTTCATCACTTGAAACCCCAACCTCCGTCCATTGTGATGTCGCATATAAATCCTAAGATGTCACATATGATGTAACATGCTGACTTCATGTGTTTATCCCGTGATTTCAAGGTCCAGAACCCACTGATCCAAAAGTCGATTTCCTTCGGGCTCACTCACTCACGGGCCACCTGGGAGGTAGCAGCAGGAGGTAGCGGGAGGTAGGGTTTACGCCCGTTTGTTTTATATATGTTGAACATGTGTGATAGGGACATGGTTTTTCAACATGTTTCAAAAAAATTCGCCATATTACGGTTTTGTTGCAGTATAAAAGTTTGAT